CCCTCCCCTCCCCCTCCATTTCCCCCTCCCCCAAACCCCCTTAAAAAAAACCACAATTTTTACCCTTTTTCACCCCAATTTGACGAAAAAATTCAAATAAATCACCAAAATTACATTTTTTCCCCAAAATTTCAAATTTTTCCCCATTTTTTTCCCAAAATCCCCCTTTTTTCCCATTTTTTCCCCCTCCCCCTCCACTTCCCCCTCCTTCAACCCCCCCTTAAAAAAAAAAACCAAAAAACGGTGTTTTTAAACATTTTTCCCCCCAATTTTCCCAAAATCGGGGTTTTTTACCCCAAAACCAAGCGGGAATTGAGGTTTTTGCGCGGGTTCCCCGCGGGCCCCGCCCACCGTGGGTCTCTTATTGACGCCTGGGGCAGCGGCACGACGGTCACGGTGTCCAGAGGTGAGTCCCGACCCCAAAATCGCCGTTTTTCCACCCAAAATTCGAATTTTTCACCCTCAAAAACCCCCCCCGGTGAAATCGGGGTTTTGGCGGGAAAATCGGGGTTTTGGCGGGAAAATCGGGGTTTCGGCGGGAAAATCCCGGGGTTCCCGGGCGGGAAACGCGGGGTTTTGGCGGGAAAATTTTTTTGGGGTGAAAATTCGGGGTTTTTGGGGTTTTATGGAGTTGGAATTAAAGGGAAATTCCTGAGGGGTTTGGGGTGAAAAAAGTCAATTTTAGGGGTTTTATTTGGGCGAAAAATTTGAATTTTTTGGGGGGGTGAAAATTTGATTTTTTTAGGCTTAAAATTTGATTTTTTTTGGGTAAAAATTTGATTTTTTTTTGGTGAAAATTTGATTTATTTCGGTGAAAATTTGATTTTTTATTTGTCAAAATTTGATTTTTTTTTCGGTTAAAATTTGATTTTTTATTCGTTAAAATTTGATTTTTTATTCGTTAAAAATTAAGATTTTTTTTGGTGAAAATTTGATATTTTTTGGGTTAAAATTCGATTTTTTTAATTCGTTAAAATTTGATTTATTTTGGGTGAAAATCTGAATTTTTTTCGCTAAAAATATGTGGGTTTTTTTTTTTTTTTGGTTAAAATTTGATTTATTTTGGTAAAAAAATTGATTTTTTTAATTCGTTAAAATTTGATTTTTTTATTTCGTTAAAATTTGATTTATTTTGGTGAAAATTTGAATTTTTTTGGTTAAAATTTAATAATTTTTTGGGGTGAAAATTTGATATTTTTTCGGTTAAAATTTGATTTTTTATTCGCTAAAATTTCATTTCTTTTGGGTGAAAATTTGACTTTTTTCAGTCCAAACCCGGCGATTTTTTGAGCTAAAAAATTCAATTTTTAGGGTTTTTTTTTTAAGTATAGAAATGCGAATTTTGGGTCGAATTTAAGATTTAAAATGGAATTTTTTGGGGTGAATTGAGGGAGGAAATTTGGGGTTAAAAAGTCAAATTTTGGGATTTTTTTAGGTAAAAATGGGATTTTTTGGGGGTTAAAATTTGATTTTTTGGGGTTTTTAAAGCGAGTTTTGGGGGAAAATGAGGAAAATTGGGAAAAATGAGATAAATTTGATATAAATTTGATATAAAATTGGGGGAAAATGGTCAAAAAATGGGGAAAAATTGTTAAAAATAGAGGAAAAAATGATTAAAAATGGAGGAAAATTGAGAAAGAAATTGAGGAAAAAATGGGAAAAAAAATTGAGGAAAAAATGATAAAAAATGATAAAAAATTGACAAAAAATTGACAAAAATTGGGAAAAATGGAGAATAAAATGAGAATAAAAAGAGATAAAATTGAGAAAAAAAATGAGAAAAAAATTGAGGAAAAAAGGGAGGAAAATGGGGAAAAAATGAGAAAAAATGAGATAAAATTGAGGAAAAAATGATAAAAAAAATGAAATAAAATTGATAAAAATTATTTAAAAAATAGAGAAAAAAAGAGGAAAAATGGAGAAAAAATTGAGAAAAAATTGAGATAAAATTGAGGAAAATTTGAGATAAAATTGAGGAAAAATTGAGATAAAAAAGAGAAAAAAAGAGAAAAAATTGAGATAAAATTAAGATAAAATTCAGATTAAAATGATAAAAAAATGGAGAAAAAATGAGGGTAAAAATAGTTAAAATTGAGTAAAAAAATGATAAAAAAATGAGATAAAATTGAGATAAAATTGAGAAAAAAATGAGATAAAATTGAGATAAAATGGAGAAAAAATTGAGGAAAAAATGATTAAAAAATGGAGAAAAAAATTGAGAAAAAAAGAAAAAAATGATAAAAATAATTAAAAAATTGAGATAAAATTGAGAAAAAAATGAGATAAAATTGAGATAAAATGGAGAAAAAATTGAGGAAAAAATGATTAAAAAATGGAGAAAAAAATTGAGAAAAAAAAGAAAAAAAATGATAAAAATAATAAAAAAATTGAGATAAAATTGAGAAAAAAAAAGAGAAAAAAATGATAAAAAAATTGAGAAAAAATGATGAAAAAATGAGAAAAAAATCGAGAAAAATGAGAAAAAAATTGAGAAAAATTATTAAAAACCGAAAGTAGAGAAATCAAAGAAATAAAAGAGATAAAATTGGGTTAAAAAGGGAAATAAATGGAATTAAATCGAATTTTAAAGGGATTTTTTAATGGAGAAAATTGAATTTAAAGGGGAAAAATCCCGATTTGAATTAAAGGAAATTAAATTGAAATAAATTAATTGGATTGAAATGAAATTAAAATAAAATTCGATTTAATTTAATTTAATTCAATTTAATTCAATTCGATTTAATTTAATTGAAATTAATTTAATTCGATTTAATTTAGTTTAATTTAGTTTAATTTAATTTAATTTAATTTAATTTAATTTAGTTTAATTTAGTTTAATTTAATTTAATTAAAAAATAAAATAAAACAAAGTTAATTCAAATTTAATTAAATCGAATAAAAGCAAAGAAAATGAAAGAAAATTCAATTAAATTAAAGTTAAATTAAGTTAAATTAATTAAAAGAAATTAAAGTAAAAGAAAAGAAAATAATTAAATTAAATTAAAACAATTTAAATTTAAATTAAATTAAATTTAAATTAAATTAAATTAAATTGAATTGAATTTAATTTAAATTAAATTAAATTAAATTGAATTAAATTAAATTAAATTAAATTAATTTAAAACCAAACAATTAAAGTTAAATTAAATTAAATTAAACAATTAAAATTAAAATTAAATTAAATTTATTTAAATTAAATTAAATTTAAATTAAAATAAATTAAATAAAAATAAAACAATTAAAATTAAAATTAAATTAAATTAAAATTAAATTAAATTGAATTAAATTAAAATAAAATAAAATAAAGCAATATAATTAAATTAAATCAAATTAAATTAAATCAAATTAAATTAAATCAAATTAAACCAAATCAAATTAAATTAAAAGAACCAGAGAAATAAATTTTAAAATAACCAAAAAAAAAAATCAAATAACCCCAAAAAAACCGATTAAAAATCAATTAAAAAATTCCAATTAAATCCCTTTTTTTTACCCCAAAAACCAAAAATCGACCCCAAAAGTGGAACCGACCCAAAAAGAGGAAATTTGGCCCCAAAATTCTTTCGGTTCCCACCCAAAATAACCCCGGGGAGGTTTCGAAAACAACAAAAAAAGGAGAAGTTTGGGGCTTTTTGGGGCCGAATTTCCCCTTTTTGGGCTGGAAAACAACACCTGGGAGAGAGAAAAATTCAAATTTTGGGCGTTTGGGGGAAAAATTTGAATTTTGGGCTGAAAAACGGGGGAAAATGAATTTTTTTGCAGGGAAAAATTCGATTTTTGGGGAAAAAAATTGAATTTTGGGGTGGCAATTTGGGCAGAAAAAGAGAATTTTTAAGAGAAAAATTCGATTTTGGGGGGATTTTTAAGGGGAAAAAATGGAATTTTGAGGTAAAAAGGAGATTTTTGTGCAGAAAAATTCGATTTTGGGAGGATTTTGGGGGAAAAAAGAGATTTTTAGGGTTTTTATTTAATGCCGGGGATTTTAATGGGGTTCGTTGGGTTTTAATTGGGTTTTAATTGAGATTTAATTGGGTTTTAATTGAGATTTAAATGAATTTTGATTGAGATTTTATTGAATTTTAATTGAGTTTTAATTGAGATTTAATTGATATTTAATTGAGATTTAATTGAATTTTAATTGAATTTTAATTGAATTTTAATTGAATTTTAATTGATATTTAATTGAATTTTAATCGAGTTTTGATTGAGATTTAATTGACATTGAATTGAATTTTAATTGAGATTTAATTGAGATTTAATTTAGATTTAATTGAGATTTAATTGAGATTTAATTTAGATTTTATTGAGATTTAATTGAGATTTAATTGAGATTTAATTGGGTTTTAATTGAGATTTAAATGAATTTTGATTGAGATTTTATTGAATTTTAATTGAGTTTTAATTGAGATTTAATTGATATTTAATTGAGATTTAATTGAATTTTAATTGAATTTTAATTGAATTTTAATTGAATTTTAATTGATATTTAATCGAGTTTTGATTGAGATTTAATTGACATTGAATTGAATTTTAATTGAGATTTAATTGAGATTTAATTTAGATTTAATTGAGATTTAATTGAGATTTAATTTAGATTTTATTGAGATTTAATTGAGATTTAATTGAATTTTAAATGAATTTTAATTTAATTTAATTCAGATTTATTTGCTTTAATTAATTTTAATTGAATTTAATTCCGTTTTAATTGCATTTTAATTGAATTTAACTCGGTTTAATTGGCTTTAATTAATTTTATTCGTTTTATTCGGTTTTAATTTAATTCGATGATTAATTACAGGTTTTATTCAGATTTAATCGGTTTTATTTCATTTTAATTGGTTTTAATTGGTTTTAATTGGTTTTAATTTGGTTTATTAGGATTTTAATTGTTTTTAATTGGTTTTGATTTGGTTTAATTCGGTTTATTAGGGTTTTAATTGGTTTTAATTTGGTTTAATTTGCTTTATTAGGCTTTTAATTGATTTCAATTTATTTTAATCGGGTTTTAATTCGTTTTAGATAGAACTAATTTTGTTTTAATAAGTTTTAATTGGGCTTCTCGGTTTTTAATCGATTATTAACAGATTTAAAACGATTATTAATGGATTTTAATCAAATTTAATCGGATTTTAATTGAATTTAATCTGATTTTAATCGATTATAAATGGGTTTTAATAGATTATTAATGGATTTTAATAGAATTTAATCGGATTTTAATAGAATTTAATCGGATTTTATTAGAATTTAATCGGATTTTTAATCAATTATTAATGGATTTTGATCGATTATTAATGGCTTTTAATCCTCTTAATTGGATATTAGGAATTAATAATAATTAGGAATTATTAGGAATAATTAGGAAATCAGAGGAAATCATTAGAAATAATTGCATTAATTAACGGTAATCATTAATAACCGCTGTTAATTCCTAATGATTGCCGTTAATTAACGCTAATTAATGGCAATCAGGGGATTATTAGGGGCTGATTAATTGCGATTAATGAGAGGAATTAATTGGTGAGATGGGAATTTGGGTCTGGACTGGTTTTAACTGGTTTGGACTGGTCTTGGACTGGTTTGGACTGGTTTTTACTGGTCTGAACTGGTTTTAACTGGTTTTAACTGGTTTTTACTGGTTCTAACTGGTTTTTACTGGTTTTTACTGGTTTGGACTGGTCCTGTGTTGGTTTGGACTGGTTTTAACTGGTTTGGACTGGTCCTAACTGGTTTTAACTGGTTTGGACTGGTTCTGTACTGGTTTGGACTGGTTTTTACTGGTTCTAACTGGTTCTAACTGGTTCTAACTGGTTTTTACTGGTTTTTACTTGTTTGAACTGGTCCAGACTGGTCTGTACTGGTCTGGACTGGTTTGTACTGGTCTGAACTGGTTTGTGCTGGTCTGGACTGGTCTATACTGGTTTATACTGGTTTTTACTGGTAAAGCTGGGGCAGCTGAGGGTGCCAGTACTGGTTTATACTGGTTTTTACTGGTCTGGACTGCTCTGGACTGGTTTGGACTGGTTTGGACAGGTCCGGACTGGTTTATACTGGTCTGGACTGGTTTGGACTGGTCTATACTGGTCTATACTGGTTTATACTGGTAAAGCTGGGGCAGCTGAGGGTGCCGGTACTGGTTTATACTGGTTTTTACTGGTCTGGACTGGTTTGGATTGGTTTGGACTGGTCTGGACTGGTTTGGACTGGTCTATACTGGTCTATACTGGTTTATACTGGTAAAGCTAGGGAAGCTGAGGATGCCGGTACTGGTCTGTACTGGTCTGGACTGGTTTGGACTGGTCTGGACTGGTCCGGACTGGTCTATACTGGTTTGTACTGTTTTTTACTGGTAAAGCTGGGGCAGCTGAGGGTGCCAGTACTGGTTTTTACTGGTTTGGACTGGTCTGGACTGGTTTGGACTGGTCTGGACTGGTCTGGACTGGTTTGGACTGGTCTGGACTGGTCTGGACTGGTTTGGACTGGTCTGGACTGGTCTGGACTGGTTTGGACTGGTCTGGACTGGTCTGGACTGGTTTGGACTGGTTTGGACTGGTCTGAACTGGTTTGGACAGGTCCGGGCTGGTCTGGACTGGTTTGGACTGGTCTATACTGGCCTGAACTGGTTCGTACTGGTCTGGACTGGTTCTGACTGGTCTGGACTGGTCTATACTGGCCTGAACTGGTTCGTACTGGTCTGGACTGGTTCTGACTGGTCTGGACTGGTCTATACTGGCCTGAACTGGTTCGTACTGGTCTGGACTGGTTCTGACTGGTCTGGACTGGTCTATACTGGCCTGAACTGGTTCGTACTGGTCTGGACTGGTTCTGACTGGTCTGGACTGGTCTATACTGGCCTGAACTGGTTCGTACTGGTCTGGACTGGTTCTGACTGGTCTGGACTGGTCTATACTGGCCTGAACTGGTTCGTACTGGTCTGGACTGGTTCTGACTGGTCTGGACTGGTCTATACTGGCCTGAACTGGTTCGTACTGGTCTGGACTGGTTCTGACTGGTCTGGACTGGTCTATACTGG